GGGCGGATATCCGCCCCCCCCCCTGAGGTTTTTCGCGAATAACGGGAAAACCGCGGCGCGTAGCGCCGCGAAATTTGGTATGACTATTCCCTTATCAATTTTACACATGGTGTGCAAGTTTGAACCTCCTACTTTTCAAGGTCAGGTCACCAGGTCACTTTGAATGACCCAACCTCAAGTCACTTTTTTGCAACTTTGTCACCGTGCCAGAGCTACAGTAGATGTCGGAGGCCTTTGAAAGTCGCAGGATGTTATTAGGTCATTAGTAGCTACAATTTGTATATCTCGGAATTTTGATATCGGTGACCTAAGGTCAGGTCAATTTCGCGACCTCCCCATTATAAGTCAATGGGGGAAAAATCAACTCCCTGTTTTTACCACTAAAACGGGTCGGAATGGCCCCATATACCATACATGACTTCATATACGATCAACCTTCACTACCTTGAGGTCTGTTTTGCTGTTGGGCAGCTGTGAGGTCATGTGACGTCATCAAAGGTCACCAAAGGTTTTTGGCCAATAACTCCGTACAGGAACAAGATACAGACGCGTGGATGGTCTCATTGTGTTCAGCTCGTCAAGACGCATCGAATGATATACATGATGACCTCGAGGTCACGTGACCTGAGGTCAACCTTTGACCTTGACCTTTCGAGGTCAACATATATATCATTCGATGCGGATTGACGAGAGGATCACGATGATGCCCTTAGTTTGTTCCTATCTTGACTAATTCGAAAGTTATTCGAGAAAAACTCTCTCCATATTTAGCGCCGCCATTTTGACTTTTTCGACCCCTGTGACGTCATCTTTGACCTGACCTGAAAATGACCTTAGTAAAAATTGTAGATCTTGACCGTGCGTATCCGATGCCGTTTACCGCTTGTCGCTATCTTGCTTCGTTCTCGAGATCTCAGGGGGGGGGGCGGTCATCCGCCCCCCCCCCCCGTCGGTACTAAGTTGGCGCAGACCCCCGTCGGTGCGCGGGTTAAACGTATGTAAGTTTCAAATAAAGCTAAACCGTCACACCTTTGACCCTTATCGTCGTGTCCAGCATTAGCCGGACACCACTCCCGCTACCAGTCTCGCCCGTTATCCGGTGTGTCTCGGCGGCCCGTCTCCGGCCGATATCCGGCGCCGGGTGAGGCCGGTGATTGGACCGCACCGGTCGCCATCAGTGCTCGTTAGCCGGCCACGCTCCCCAGTCGCGGCACGTCGCCGCTGTCACCGCAGCAGCAGATGACGGCGACGGAGACGGCGGCGGAGACGACGGCAGCGAACATGATGATGATTGTACGACAGCAGCAGCAAGAGCCGACATGTAGGTTCTTACGTTATTGTTGGCCATGCTGCCCTTATACGTAGTGGAAATGCAGCTAGGCAGGCCACACTGTCTTCACACAATATCCCAAAACGTCTTTAACCCGCGCCCCGCTGGGGGGGGGGGGCAGAATCTGCCCCCCTCCCGTTTTTCGCCAATAACTTCTAAACGCGTTACGCCAGCGACGTCAAACTTTCAGTACCTTATCATACATCAATTTGACACGCTCCCTGAAAATTTGAGCGAAATCCGTCGGAAAATTTTTGAGAAATTGACGTTTTAGTGACGTCATGTTCGCCATTTTCGCCTCAAAAACGGCAAAATTTCAAACGCCGCTAACATCTTCATTTTTAAAGGAATCAAGACGTAACAAAAAAGGTTATACGTGATTCTACTTTGTCTATCAAATGGCTATCTCAGTTTTTTGAAAATTTTGGATTTTGGCCAACATTTTTCCAAAAAACTGACTTTTTTGGGAAAATATTTATAAAATCCAAAATTTTGGGTTTATCGAAAAAACCGGAATATATGTCAAAGAACTGATCTATGTGCACCTACATACCAATTTTTAGAAGAATCGGTTCAAAAATATGGGAGTTATTCAAAATTTTATGACGTCACGACACACAAAATTTTTGAAAAATGATTTTTTTTGGAAGTTCTAGACCTCGTACGGAAACAAAAATAGCACCATTCGATTTGCCGTGAAAAACTGCATCGGATAGACACCTTTTTAGGCCTTAACAACCAACTTCAAAATTTGACCTCACTTGACCTGACCTTGACCTGACCTCGACCTGAAATTCATCCAGAGGTGGTCCATATCAATTATTGAGTGTGCCTTTTGAATTCCATGAGTAAAATGACCCATAAAACATGTGTCGCACATGCCCTTTTCTATATTTTGTTTTTGGTGACCTGACCTGACCTGACCTGACCTTGACCTTGACCTTTGAATGACATTGTGTGCAACGAATATTGTCTTGGTAGTCTAAGAACACGTTTTGGGCAATCAGTCTCAGTCCATTCTTCGGCAACTACGGTGCAAGGCCGATACTGTAGAAACTTGCATTTTGTACCCTTGACCTGACCTTGACCTGACCTCTGACCTACTTAAGCAAAAAAATTTGGGCTCCTAAGATCCGCCTTGTTGAGAGCTTTCGATTGCCGTTTTCCCCGTCTTTCTACGACCATCGGTTCGGAAGTTAGACAGGGGGGGCAGAATCTGCCCCCCCCCCCCCCCAGCAGGGCGCGTATGGCTGAATAGCCCAGCGGGGCGCGGGTTAAGAAAAAGTTACTAGCTAAAAAGGTCATTTTCGTTAGGGGCACAAGTAAAGCGACAAAAATAGCAGTTCAGAGCTTCCAATACCCAATACCGCCATAGTACTGGCAAACGAACCTGAATGTTTCAACTTATTATGAGCATTAAAGTGACCTGCTCTCGCCTGCTCTCGGCCTGCTCTCGATATCACATAAATGCACATAAATGCGACTTCGAACATACCTACGGGTAGTCTGCTAGCGGAATGCCAAGTACCCTAAATCAACGCAGCCACCACTCTGGCGGAGGCCAGCAGTCTCAGCTAGTGGCCATAGGTGACGGAGACGCGCCAACGACTCGGCCACATCAGCGTAATCACCCCCGGCCACCGGCACTCAGCGCGTCGGCGTCATTGTCGCCGGCGGCGGCGGCGGGCGGTAATGGTGGGACAGCGGCGGCGGTCGAAAGTCGCCCGGCGGTGGCGGCGGCGGCGGCGCGGCCGTTATCGCGGGGCGTCCGACGTCAATGGCGGCGGTCGGCCCGCCGAATGGGTCGTGCCACCGCCGGACCCGGCGCCGGCCTGCCCGCCGCCGCCGCCGGCCGTTGTCGAGCCGTTCCGGTCGTGCTCGGGCCGTAGTCAGCCGTGCTGGGGCCGTAGCCGGGTCGTTCGCAGCCCGGGCGCGGCAGTTCCGGGGCTGCTTCCATGTTATGCGGAGATGTCCGGGGCTCTTGGGAGATGTAAGGGCCGGCTGGAGCTGTTCCGGGCTCTCTGGGCCGACTGTGACTCTGGCCTTTGGGTCCGGAACAGCCCTGAACATCCCGGAGCGCGGACGGAACACAGAGGTCATTGGGAGGATTAAAGCGACAGAGACCCGTCGCTCGTCCATTCACTGGCGATATTCGATTTTCTGAGTGTCGTGGGTCTTTGGGTGGCCTCTGTACTGTCTCGGTAAGACGATGAAAGCCAATCGGGAGAGTGAGACAAAATGGCAAAGGGGCCTCTGGAATGGGTAGTTAGACCAAACAAAGCGCTGGTCAGAAGGAACAGCGAGGGACACGGTGGTGGAGCTAAGGATGCTCCGACGATAAGCATTGCGATTTCCAATTCCTAGATAACGGCATCGGTTCAGACTGGTGGGAAGCAGCTGCACTCCAATCACCCAGGGTGCATCAGTGAGGATATAGTCTGAGATTCGGTTGAAATCAAACTCACCAAGATATGCCTATCCCTATTTTTAAAAGCATTTTGGCTAAAAAATATAGGAAAAGTACATACAAAGCGTTAACCATGGTTAAAGAAAGAGTTTGGTGGCATATTTAAAATGAAAGCCGTACCTAATCGTCTCGCTCACGTATAAAGCTGGGACGAAGTCCACATAAATGCGCCCCTTTTATGCCGTGAAGATAAGTAATAAGACCTACCCTTACCTATTGGCAAATGAAAAGTTAAAATGTTGGTAGGTATCATTTTTTTCTTTAAAGAATACATGAACATTAATTTTCGATAACGTTGAAGTGATTAACTATCAGTTTGTATGGTAAGTCTCTACAAATTTGAACCAACATGAATGGCTGCTCAAATGAGTGAGAAGTGTAGCTTATAGGACGAGTGATCGTGAGTCATATGCAGGTCCTGAAAATCGGTGTTAAGCGCTCTCCCCAAAAATCAACTCCATAAACTGCCTGGATTTCGATACTTAATGCGTTGGTGTGCTGGTAAACGTTGACTTTCTCTTTTAAAAAAATGTTCAATGTTCCTTTGTAAAGAAAGCATGTGTAATGCCGAATTTTGCGGTTATTATTTTTACATAGTGCCTTGGCTAGTGTCCCTTTTAAATTAACATTTGACAAAACTATGCACACAAGTCAAAAAGCGTGCCTTCATGCCTTCACTTTGTTTCTTTGGAGTTTGGAATAAAGAAGTTCATCATAAGCGTCGATAAGTGGCCTAAAAATAGGACAGACAAAGTAGTTCATAGCATTAGCCACCAGCTTCAGTCCACCCAAATAAAGGAAAAATTTAGCCTGGTGCCCCTGTCCACCCCTAGGGGCATTTTGGGCACGCGATGCATGATGGCGGAATAAACATCCTTCCCAGCACTCCATTTCGTGCTGAACAAGGTGGGACGCGTGCCGCCTGCCCCGAACGAAATGCACCACAAAGCAAACGTCACTCTGGCGGCTGCTCTCGAGGCGCGGCTCATTAATTGCACCCACCTCTCTTATCGTCACCGGGACGCGGTTGCCGCCGATGCAAATTAGCTCTCATGTATCAAACGGGGCGGCCGCCGCCGTCCCAGGGGCCGGGCGAGGGGCGGGCGGCGCCGTGCGCTGATTGGCTGACGCTGCGGCCGGCGGCGCGCTGATTGGTCGGTGCTCGGGCGGCAGCCGGCTCGGGTAAAAACAGTATGGACGGCCAGTCGGGTGGCGACCGATCTCGTGGGCCCAGCTAGTCCGTATTGTTGGCCGCACCTAATGGTTCTTGTCCGGGCCGTGTAGTGGAAAGGCGTAATCACCTGTGACTAACGCAATTAGCATAATCATTTCCACGCGGCGTGACACCTTTGCAGTGACTTTGTGCGCGAGACGAATGCGAAAGTGAGCGGAAGGACCACTGGAGGAGCTGCGAGACCGGCTGTAAGTAATTTTACGGGGTTTTCGCGGATTAGACACCTTGTGCCTGAGCAGTGTATGCATGCCTTGTTTGTGTAGAGCATCGATCGGGCTAGGGGCACAGGCAAATTTATCTAAGCGTTCGCCCAATGCGTGTTTGACGTTTTGCCTAGATTCGGCAATGTCGCAAAACACGGGAACTTGATCGTTTTGGTGTTTGCAGCAAGAGGGCTTGTTTGAATGTCATTGCTTAGCTTAGATGAGCAAACGTGACCACCACTTTCATAGTAGAGCATCCGAAGCAGCCACAGCACTACATAAAATCATCTTTGTACATAAAATTTTGTTGCGGGCCCTTTGTTTTTTCTCTCTCATTTTTTAGAAATAATATGCAGCCTGCTAGGGATTTCAGTCAAAAGGTGAAAAATATAGGTACCTATTCGGGCTCAAGATGAAATGTTCCTATAGCGATTGAAACATTTATATTTTAGGTGGCTAAGCATTCTTCAGTTGCCTTCAGTAGCGGCGGAACACCTTCAACTAAGGGGGCACTGCCGACTTTTGGTCCCATTCTTTCCATGCAACGTCCATAGGGCTAATGTTAGAATGCCCAAATCAAGGGGCACGGTGCCCCGGTGCCCCCCTCCCCCGTTCCGCCGTCTATGGTAACCTTGGAGTCTTTGATACTTTGGTCGAGGTAGGTAGGGCAAAAGCGTTGCGTTTCTATGCAGGCACGCAAGATTTTTATGATTAAAGAGAGGGAAAAAGAGACAGAGAGAGCGGGAGAGAGAGAGAGAGAGAGAGAGAGAGAGAGAGAGAGAGAGAGAGAGAGAGAGAGAGAGAGAGAGAGAGAGAGAGAGAGAGAGAGAGAGAGAGAGAGAGAGAGAGAGAGAGAGAGAGAGAGAGAGAGAGAGAGAGAGAGAGAGAGAGAGAGAGAGAGAGAGAGAGAGAGAGAGAGAGAGAGAGAGAGAGAGAGAGAGAGAGCTTTAGTTCTGTTTAGCAGCCTTAACAAACTTGATGCGCCAAATTTGATTCCAAAATATCACAATGCCTTCTAGTTGTAATGAATGATAAAAATGATTTTAAATTCATAGCAATGCTATAAAAATCCAAAATAAACATCTATACGATTCTCGTGCTGGCGCTTATCAAAAAGTAGCACATGATTTGCTGAATTCGACAAGAAGTTACAGCCTTTGGGTGCAACATGTCTTCTGAGCTTCATTATTTTTCCACGTCTGCTGATGGGAGACTCACACTTGGAAAACAACAATATGTTTCGAGCTCGAATACTGTTGTTTTAAAATATGTTTCTCATGAGGACTCTGTCACCAAATATTTAATACCAACTACAAGCATGGATAGAAGGTTGCGCCGTTCACGTAGCTTGTTTCAGGTAGAACTTGAGTGACTAATGCAATGACTTCAACTACTGTTACTACTGTACTACTGTTATCTGTGACTTCAATAATGTGTGTCTAAACGTTACACTTAACTCTCGACAAACTTATCGGTTTTCTACGTAAGCCCTCGCTGTTTCACCCCTAAATGAGCTAAAGCTTCCCAAAATAAACGGGCATGTGCGTCGTTAGAGACGTAGCGGCTGGCGCTACATGATTTTAAGGATAGTTCAGGTGAACCCAAGGTCCTAAAACATAATCGGGTGAATTGGTAACCACTGGGGCCAAGTCAATGCCCCAAAGTACGGGCTCTGTTTTTGGTGAATTGTTTTTTATGGGGAGTGTATCAACTTATGGTGTCAACTCAACTCAGGTCAGCTAAAGTAAACTCAGGTTGTTAGTTGACCTTATTTTACTTTTAGGTCAGTTGAAAGCAACTCAGGCCAGGAAGCTAGTCGAAAGACGTCACACTATGTAACATAAGATCATTCAGGTCTTGTCCATTGATTCCATTGGTCCATTAGTTCCTCCCCGACTCATTAGCAAAATTCGATCGGGAGTTATTGGCGACAAACTCCGATGACCGTATGTATGACATGACGTAGCGAATCCAAATTTTAGCATAGGACCTTCAACGGAGTGTATTATATCACGACTGCTTGAGATAGTCATGGCTCATTTCCCGTGAAACAATAGCAGTTTCCTTATTTCATCCTTTGGCTTATAATGGCGAGGTCACGTGATCGACCTGACCTCAGAAGGCAATTATGGAAACATCTATTGAGACTACCTGTACCTATCTGAATGATGACAATAGACTTCAACTGATGAGTTATTAGGATGATTTGTTTTTTATTCTTACAACCTTTCTAATGCTACTTAAATACAATACAATACAATACTTATTCACCAGCTGTTGCCACGTAATGCAAGAACTAGTTTACATGCTTTCATGAACAAAAAATAGAGCATTTTAGTGCTATTTTGACAATGTACCGGGCTTTTGTGACCTTGTGACCTGACCTCAGATCACTGGAACCTAAAACTCCCAGGTTAAGTGACAAATACAGGCAGGGTGTACAGTGGCGCGGGAACTTCTTCCAGACTGGGGGGGCTGAACCATAATAGAAATCAACCTAGGGTACCCCCAAATCTAGTTTTCTCACCGGTTTTAGGCTACTTATTTTTCAGACCTTGGCTTTTTCAACAACAAAAAAAAAACGAAAATATTTTCAAAAAGTGAGGTATTCCGTCTCAGCTGAGTGAAGAAACTACCGTTTTGGCAGCCTGGAGTAAAATGAGTTGCCGAGCCAGTGAAATAGGTAGGTGGATTTTTCACTTACATGCTTTCTTCCTTTGTGACCCACAACCCCTAATTTGGGGAGGACAAGCTGCCCAACGGTTCCTGGCCTCATGAAACGTTGTGGGGCACCGCCCCCACGGCCGCAGAGTTGTGGGGGCAAGCTTCCCCCACTGCCCCCTCCCCGGTCCCCCGGTTCCCACGCCAATGTATGAATCTATGAAATTATGTTGGTAGATTTTCGATTTCGATTCCTCCAGCTGGGGGGGGGGGGGGCTCAAATACATTACGAGCCCCCCAGCCGAAAAGCTGGGGGGGGCTCAGCCCCCTAGCCCCCCCGGTTCCCGCGCCACTGAGGGTGTAGGCAGATGCCCTAAGTCGTGTCTGAAGTTTGGTAGCGCTACGTGCTATAGCACTCAGGCTGTCAACGAAAAACTATGGCATTCAGTTGCCGCTAAACTAGTCCAATTTTCCCTTGACCTTGTACCGGTTTTTGAGACCTCTGACCTGGTGACCTGACCCGAAAAGACTGAGACCTGAAATTTTCAGAAAAGGTGCCAAAAGGTTGCTCCAGAGGGTATGGTAAATTTGCCGGCGCTACGCGCCGCCATTTTTACGCTATTTGTGAAAAACCTTAGGGGGGTGCATAATCTCCCTCGCCCGCACATGGGGGACAGGGTGGTTGCCACCCCCTCCCCCCCAGGTAGTTCTTCTGCTCTGCACTCAACACTTTTAACCCTCGCCCGCACATGGGGGGGGGGTGGTTGCCCCCCACCCCCAAGTAGTGTTTCTGCTCTGCACTCAACATTTTTAGAGCTAGAAGCCTGATTTTTCGTATAGCTGCTGCTCTATCCTTTCTTGATGTCCACTAACAATTTCAAGTTTCTGTGGTTTTTGGTTTCGTAGATATGACCTTGTTTTTCAGGTCATGTCATGACCCAAATGACCAATTCTCAACATCTTGCGTTGGCTATGGGCCTTGTGAGCTTTTGACACCTTGATTTCGGCCTTTTTAGCCAGTCTTACCTCCCACCTATCATAGAACATGTTGTTCGACGATGTACAGATGTCAGGGTCAGGGTCAAAGTCAACCTAGGTCATCTAAAAACATTGCGTTTCAGAAAGCTGAATTTACTTTTCGTGAAGTTTGACTGTATTTTGGTAAAAGCTTCTCAGTTCATGATCTCATGTAATAGGGACACATAAACACGGGATACGGAAAGGTAGTGTGGGACGCTGCGGGGGGAAACCTAGCAACAAAAAGGTTTCTACAAATTCCAGAGACTTTCTTCTTCTCATAAAACTTAGTTTTCGCTCTATTCTAGAAAAAAACGGCAACTTTTTATCGATATCGGGGGCTGTAAAAGTCCCCCTCGCAGTTCCGCCAGTGAGTTGTGTTTAGTTTAAGAAGTACCGATTTATGCGAAAAGAAACAAATTTTAGGAGCCAGGCTAAACATTAATTTTACATGTTTTTTTTTTCAGACTATCCTAGCATGACGTTGCCCCTCAAAACGAGTCCAAAAGACGCGCAGAAACTACCTTACTCTGACACTGATGTCACCGATGTCAGTTTCTTATTGGTATAGACAATTTTCACCGCTTTCCACCTATGGAAAAAATCTGTAACTCACTCTCCCTCTCCTTTCTCTTCTTCTGCCTAGCCTTAGGATGTTGTGACGTCATGCTGACACTCATGCATCTTTCCGAACTGACAATTTAACTCAAGCATTTTATGAACCTTTAATCTGCATCAGCAGCGCCATATAGCCTCAGTTACCCCTTATATCACTGCGCCGTAGATTTTTTCGATAAAACTGATAATAACTCGAAGGCAATATTATCAGTCGATCGGAACTCATTAAACAGAGACGCGCCACTCCTTCGATTGTGTCTATCATTAAATAAGTTATACCGGTGTGGCAGCAAAGGGCATAACTTTGTTTTGGGGGCAGATATAAACTGTTGTGTATTGCTGGCAAACTGGAGGAAAATGTAGATCACGATTAGCCTGATCTAAGGTGTCGAGTCTCGTGCGTCTTGGAGTCAAGACCAATTGACCGATTCTTTTCTCATTTTTCTTTTTTTTTTACAAAACCGAGAATAACTTGAAAGCTATGTCGAAAAAAAAGAACACCTGCCAAGCAGTGAGATGAGGGCTATACCTGACCTTGACTGACCTGACCCAACTTTACCGAACTGCCCCACTCAGACCTGACCTGGCCTGCACATGCGTTATCAACTTTACAGGACCTGATTCTGACAACCTCCTGACTAGATCAACGCTGGTCCTGGCCAGCCTACTTCGTGATGAGCGTAACCTGACCTGTCCCACAACTATTTTCCTTTGGCCTAAACTGCTTTGCGCTGACCCAGAACTGACCTCTCGCATTCCTGGCTGACTCTGACCTTATTTATATCGCGCTGACCCTGCCCCTGCCCCTGACCTGCATTACCCCGACCCTAAAATCGACCTATCTCGTTCCTTACTGACCCTGACCACCCTTATCTGACCTGCCCCGCGCCGACACTGACCCTGACCTGCACTACGCCGACGCTGACCTCTGTCTCTCGCCCGCAGGTGTGCGCCCGGCGGTGCCCGGAGTTCGGCACCATTCTGAGCGCGCAGCACCCCGGGTCTGGGTCGCAATGGGCCCAGACCTGCGTCACCTCCATCGACGACATGCCTCACAAGGGTCAGTGGCCGGACGGGGCCGCCGACGCCGGTCAGTGCAGCCATACCGCGCCGCGCCGCCGTGCATGTGGTCCAGGCTGGGATGTGGGTGGAGACATTTACAGTGTCATGGAGACTAATTGAATACGGGTGGGCTGTAAAATGTTCTTGAAACGCTTGCCAATGAAACGTGGACGTAGGAACCTGTGGGAATATGGATATATGGGATTCAGAGCACTTCTTAGAGGGCTGAGAATCCCACATCTTCCAAAATCATAAGACGTTTTAAAATATTATTGATTTTAGAAATACATGTATTTATGTATTTAGAGATGTCAGCTGTGCAAAATTAAATTCCGACGTACAATGTTAGGACGTTGGAACATAACTGATGTCCGGGGAAGTTTTGAGCCGGACTTTACCGAGGTAATGTCTGACGCACCATGAACCATTCGACAGCAGGCTGAATTCAGCAAGAACAAACAAAGTAACTGTTGAACACCGATCAGCTTACGGTATTTGATGTTACCCTTTAAAAAACAGTCACGTCAGTCTATGAATTAGCGATTCTTGGTGACTTCTACGCAGCTCTAAAACTTACACAACACGCCATTTGCCCTACAAGAGGTCTCTGACCCTTGTGGCTGTCTTACAACAGACCGAGACATTGCATCATACGGCAGTGCGCATCGGCCAGGCCCCCGGCAGAGGCGGATACCGTTTATACTGAGCCCAACCCAGCAGACAGTCCGTACATCACTCTGACATGTACGACCGACTTTCTTCTCTGTACCTATACACGGAACACAGTGAGAGTCGAGCGAGAATGCGATAAATGATGGTCATAGCTATCGCAAAGGTAGGCCGTCATCGGAATGCATCCACTTTAGTCAACATGGCGTCTACGTGATGCAAGCTTATGTTATTTCAATGCTTTTATCATTATTTCGTTTTCCATGTTATGAACTCAGTGGCACTATTATGTGAAATCACAGATCTCTGTTCACCAGACAGAGGTCTATTGTGAAGGTATTAAGGAAACAATAGCTATAGCACTTATCAGGGTAGGACAATAGTGGCTTCAATACCAAACCATTTTGACTGTAACTGATACATGGCAAATCTATTGGCGTTACAAAAGGATTTTAAAGATGGACGTCCAAATCACTGCGTATGTTGATAGACATCTATGCGACTTGGTTTTGTATGATTGCCACCGTTTTTTAGACTGATCCATAACCACTGAATCTCAGGCTAAAGGGACTATCCCACCTTTAACATGGGGTTTGAGTTGAGATAGCCAAGTTAACGGCGAGGTTCAGAAACCACTATCTATCTAGGTTGCAACCCCCGCGGCCTCTTGGTGTTGAAGAAATTCGTTCCCTTCATTTGAAAATGGGCCTTGTACAAGGCCCTATCTTCAACATGGAGCGACCGTTAGTGTGACGTCACCTCGTTTAGTCATTCTGATTTAAATGGGTTTGTTCGTTGAAAAATCGCTTAAAACTTGGTCTGAACTTTGTTGTGGTGCCTACAGAGTAAAAAGAGTAAGCTTTATGACAGTAATGTGGCCTAGGGAAGGAGGTAATTTTGGGCTGTGACGTCACATATTTGAAAGTTTGTGTTTGGAATATGGGAAGCCTAAGATGTTTAATGAAAAATAAATGCCAGAACCGTGTTCCTGGTCATCCAATCTATAAAGTCGGGCACAATTTAACTGGTTTTAACAACATTTTAGAAGGTGGGATATTCCCTTTAAGCTTATGACTTCCGATCTTAGACTATATTCCCAGCAAAATCAAAGTGACATTCATGCTCCATCCCCCGCGCCGGTCGACTTCCCCGTCACAAGTAACTTTCACGGAGCTTACTCTCCCCTCGTCGTGCCCCATCCATCCATCCCCCGCACGCCCCTGAGCCGCTCCCTTTCGCTGGCTCCTTCCGTCCGGCCCGCCCGTTCCTTCCTTCCTCCGCTGGCACGCGCACCCGCCCTCTCCCCACTCTACCGCCGTCAGCTCCAGCTCTGCACCCCGGCCGCGGCAGCAGCCGCTGCAGCGGCGGCACAGCGGCCGGCCCGGCCCGATCTGTTGGCCTTTCCACCCCATTGGTTCCATTAGATTATCCTGTGTGAAGTTTCTTAGCATTTAGATGGAAATCGCTATTGATCCGGCGGCTCATCATGGCCGCCGGCGGCGTCTGCGGCGGCCAGCGGCGCAGAGGTGACGAGCGCGGCGCACTGAGAGAGCTGCCAAATCGGCGCCGTGTGCCACCGCCTCAGAATGGCGACGACAGCCGACAGTGCGCCAAATTCCCACTAATGAAGGACGTGGAGCGGAAGTGAAACAGATATGGGTCTCGTTAGGCCCGAATAAAGCTCCAATGCTCCGGCAAAAACAGTCACAGTTTTAAGACGCCTCCTTTTATTTGCATATTTATATAACAAGTGAATTTTAAATGCCTTCATAATGCTGATACAGACATTCGCTATTTTCTCTGCCATAGTGAGTGGTACGGCTACCGTCTAAATTTCCAGTTCAGAGTAAGCTTATTTCAAATATTGCGAATGGATTGATTGGCGAATCCAGAGCTTACGCTAATCCGAGCTTGTTGAGCAGTCTCTGAGCAGTCTATCGCCTGATCGGGAAATTAGGAGTTGTGGGGCCTTGTGAAGCCTTAGTTATGCGTGCTAACATAGCCAGCCATGACGACTAGCTATGACTGCTTCCATCGATTGTAAATAATCTCCCTTTCAGGAGACTCTTATTGAGCGCCGGAGAGAGCCGAACTCGATCGCTAAACATGAAAAGTTTGACGCTCTTATCAGGTAGAGGACGGGACGGAATCAATTGCTTTAAGATCGAAAGGGGCTCTGGGGCTCTGAGGCCTGCAAAACTATCCGTTGCTCCCGACTACACTTAGTCCAGCTACGTTATCTTCATTCGTTTCAACCTCAGGTGCAGCCGCTATTACAGGGAATCTGAGCGCTTGCATAAATATAGATCACCCTCTGATACTGTGAAAATAACTAATACGTTACTAATGACCACTGTGGAGTGTGGCTAGTTAGGTGCTTTCCTTCATAGAGATCTTATATAGAGATGTATATAAGATCTCTATGCTTTCCTTCACATTTGACTGTGCTAAATATGAAAAAGTCACACTCGTTAGGTACTTACTCGTACTGTGAATAGTGTCACTGGGGCAGGATGGAGACGGGGACCGATATTATGCCTCTAACTCGAATTGTACACGTATGTTGCTAACAACCACCCGACGTAACACTCAGGTCAGCCACAGGATGTACCGTGCTGACCTACCATGCTAGCCCTCTTGACAGATCAACTCACCAGTCACAATTTAGTATGATATGAGCCGTTTGATTTCCATGGCCTGCTAGGGTTATCAGGTCACATATTGGTGCACCATGACCCCGCTGACCCTCATGACCGGCCACCAGGTCACAGTGGGGTGTTTCTATATGGCCCGTGACCCCGTGATCGGTCATATGACCCCACTGACTCCCTGTGACCGGTCACCAGGTCACAGCGGTGTGAACCAGCTGGGCGGCGCGTTCGTCAGCGGTCGGCCGCTGCCGGACACCACGCGCCAGAAGATCGTCGAGCTGGCCCACTCGGGGGTACGGCCGTGCGACATCAGCCGCATCCTGCAGGTCTCCAACGGCTGCGTCTCCAAAATACTCGGCAGGTGAGCTGGACGAAGGAGACGTGGATAAAAACACTTGAAAAAGGGTCCACAGTCGTAGTTCCGAAAAAATAAACGTTCTAAAGCCTTATTTCCGCTTTATGCCTGCATTCTGAATCAAATATCTGCCGGCTGTTTGTATTTTCCAATAAATATATTTTACATTTTCTGTCAAGGTTTGGATGATAATGTAGCAGATGATCTTACTAAGTGCTGGTTTCTTTGCGACCGTTTTGCAAGCATTGGGAATGCTGAGTCCTGAGACACTATGTATTCATTGAAAGAATTATGAGCCGTGTAATCTAAGGGGCGGCACGGGCACGCGGTGCATTCTGAATGCCTCAATATGGCGCTGAAATTCAGCAGGCGCTCTTCTGCTGTCTCATCTACTTCTCTCTGAACTTTGTGTCGTCTCTGTTTAGCCGGGCGTTTATCTTTTATCTGTGTTTTAGCTGAGTCGAGGGTCGCCATTTATGTAAACGTCGGCGGGCCGCCGCTCGTCGTGTCCGTTTTATTCTCGTCGTTTAGGCCGATTTCTCCGCAGCTGCTCCGCCGCTGCCGGCGCCGCTCTGCGGTGAATACCCTCGAAAATTGAGATATTTTGTCGAGCCAGCTATTAATCATGTTGAAAAGCGGCCGGCGTGATTCGGTCCCATCGGCTGGCGGCTGAGTGACTCGCACCGGGCTCAATGGAAATATGATCGCGCGTAAAGAGCCGACGAGCGGACGCCCTTCTTTGCGCAGCGGTTCGTTACATGGCCGCGTGAAAGGGACCGTGATGGATGAACCCAAAACAAGCCGGATTGGACACATCCTTTGGCCGTGGAACGGTGAGCACCGTCAGCGAGCCGCCCGAGAGCCGGTCAGATGTGTGACGCCGAAAACTCATCAGTCTTGGATTGTGTCTTGTGTGTGTAGGTGGGGTGTTTAGCGTTCCTCGACGATATTTTATGGCTCCGAATAGCATTCAGGAGAGGGAAGAATGAAGAGAAAAGTAAACAGAAGAGTCTTCGCTACGTCTATATGTTCATGTCAGCGAGTTGCCACTTGGCTGATTTTCGCTGCCGAAAAGGAAAGAGTAGCTTGTTGTGTAAGGACAGACGGGCTACCTGAATTGGAGATGTATGGCTATGGACATGGGACGTTTTTGTTAGTTTACAAATTCTGGTGAAAAGACCAGGCGGCAGGCTTCCGACGGTAGCCACTAGAGAAAATATGAAGGGACTGATATTCAATATTGACAGTGTTTATAAGGATTAAAATGCCCACCAATTTTCGTTTAAGTCTTATTTATAGCGAGGCGGTAGGAGACGGTCCCAAATCCTTCCTACCACATGACATTCAAAGCAGTCGGCAGCTTTCATCGCGGAAAAACCAAGCTACAAAATTTACATATCTCACTCTCGTCATCAAAATTCAGCATGTCGTCTGCCGCGTCCGCAGCTGCAGCATCTCAGAGCTCTCTAATGTCGACTTCTAAATCAAAATTCCACCCAAATCAACCGATAGCCGCGGGCAGATATCCGAAAGTTTTACTCGCAGCAATTTCTACCTTCTGAATTCAGATAATGCAAATAATATGGCAGTTTATTTGTGTCTGTTTTCAGGTATTACGAGACGGGCTCTATCCGTCCGCGGGCCATTGGCGGCTCCAAACCTCGCGTGGCCACAAGTGAGGTGGTGGAGCGCGTCACCGCCTACAAACGCGAGTGTCCCAGCATCTTCGCATGGGAGATCCGCGACCGGTTACTGCAGGAGGGCGTCTGCTCGGCCGAGAACATACCCAGCGTGAGTGACGCAGGATCTGTTCTGCTAAATGTCGCTACTTGGTTCGAGCTAGCTCCTGCTTAATGACGCTAGTTGATGCCATTGATTTTTTTGCTTGCTATTTCAAGGTCATATCAAGCAAGCAACTTAAGTTGGAGCTGAGTTAAGGGTCGTCTGTGTTTTTCCTTATCTCACTGGAAACTATTTTCAATTTCTATTGATTGCAAGGCCTATGTTGTCCGCTCCTTTCATCTCGGTGGCGGTTGACGTTTTCCAACTCCCTCCAGGTGTCTTCCATCAACCGCGTGCTGCGTAATATCGTGGCCAGCAAGGAGCAGACCATGACGCCCGCCTCGGCGCCCTGCAGTCAGCCGGACCCCGTCTACGACAAACTGCGCGCGCTGAACAGTCCTGCTGGCTGGCCGCGGCCTGACTCGTGGTACCGACCTGCCGCTGACGCCGGCGGCGGGGGCGGGGGCGGCGGCCAGTACCCGCTGGCGGCGCCGGCCGAGTCGCCGCCGGTCGGTCAGCAGCCGCCGGTGGTCACCTCTCACCTGAGGGACGACCTGAAGAGCGAGATCGGTGAGTAGCCCGGGAGGTCAGGGGTTGATCTCGGGGATGAATCGGGAAGATCTGTGTGCACATTGTGAATGCGACGAGAGGAAATGGCGATCAAACAGTAGGGAAAATCAGCTAGAACATAGTTTCTAGATGCATCCCCTTTTCTCTTCAAAATCCGATAAGCACATTTCGCGGACATTCTGCTCGAAGTATCTCTTATTAGTCGCATCAAAGCGGAAACGGTCGTCCGCTTCTGTCGATCCCTTGTTTCCGGCAACACCGAACATTGCGCGGGTCGGCTGAGCCTCGATGTCCCGGAAACGATCAGACAGCTGCTCGGCTCTGGCTCCGGGCTCCGGCTCCCGGCTCCCGGCTCCGAGTGTACTACTGCGGCTGACCCGGGTCCCGGTCTGTTTCGCCCGAGTAAGACCGTCTCTCCTTTCCCTTCCTGAGGGACGGGTGACTGTCCGGCCAGTGACGCGATCAGTGTCCGTAGCACAGCCGCTGTCGCCTGGTTCGTTGTTCTCGGTTTGTTGGTCTGTATCTCTGCGTCTGGTAAACCACGCTCGATGACAGCACCGGGTGCTGGTCCGGCGGGTACCGCGCACAACGGCAGCAGAGCAGCGCCAGCCGCACCCGGCCGCTGCCGCCGGCCGGCCCTGCCCGCTCCCACGCTCGTAACATCGCCACCGAAGCGTGCGTGTCGCGCTTTGTGTGCGCATTGTGCCGCCGCGGCGCGGCTCTCTGGCGCTGCGAGGGGGCGCCCCCGCCGCGCCGGCCCGGCCGCATTATCGTTAGCGCCGACAAAGGATCAGTAGCCGGCTCATAACATGTCCGGCACTCCAGAGCCGTTGTCGGCGCCCCTCGGATTCGCTACAGGCCGCCGGGCCGATTGAGACGTCAGCGGCGCGCCGGCGGCAAACAGCGCCGCGGCCCGGCGGTGATGACAGATGTGTGACAGGTGCCGGGACGACCCGCGCCGCGCCGCCGCTACCTGTTGTCACCGGGCCGGGACGACCGCCGCGCGCGGAAAGGGTGGCGAACGGTGGCGCACCGGTGGCGTCACCAAAGGCGGCGGTGGCCAGCTCAAAGGTTCGGCCGGTCCTGCGCTGTCCGGCCCTGTCGGACGCACCGGTCGGCCCGGAGGGGTCTCGTCAGAGGGGAGCGGACTGGGAGCGGGGTCATACAGGCCGGGGATAAAGCCCCGTTTGCGGCGGCGGCAGTTCACAGGGGCCGCCGCGTTACCAATACCTGGGAACCTGGCCCGACTGTTTATGCGGCCGCTTTCAAAACAGCTTTCGGCTGGTCATTCGATCGGGATTTGGTGGACAAAGGCGTGCCGCGGCTCCCGGCGGCGCGGACTCATCACAAGCACCGGGACGGTGTGTGGACGGTGACCGCAGTAGCCGCACTGGTCGACTAGAGTGGGCCCGTGCGAACTCCAGGTGTGACAGCATTTGGCCCGGATCACACCGACCTGATTGTGCTACTTTTAAATCACTGTGGCACCGAACATGGCTACGTGTATGTAAACACTTACCAGACATGTGCATGGATCCGAGTGACGGATCTATGATCTCAATGGATCTCAAAGCAAAGTACAGATTGGGATCTATGATCCCACCGGATCCGGCGTGAAAAATACATCTTGGATCTATGATCTCATATGATCTGACGATAAATTAAGAACATGGATCTATGATCTGAGTGGGTCCCACCATGCACCACATTTGAAACCATGTTTTAAAGGGTTTCTATGCCAATAAGTGACACAAAACTATGGATTATGACGTGCAATCACATAAAATCACTCAAACAGAATGTTTGTGAGTTGAAACAAATGTTTTTTTTTGGATATATCGGGTGGCCCAGAAAAAACGTTCCGAACTTTGGAGGCCTATATATCAAATTCGAGTGCAAATAACGAGCCAAAATTTCCATCAAGTTTGCGTCATTTCGTTGCGCATTGGTATGCCAAATTATAACACTATACCATCATTTTCAAGCTGGCAATCTTGAGTTGAAATAAGCAAGACGTTTTTGCTTTTTTGCCCATGTCAAACGATAGTGATGATTGGGTTAGACGTCCCATGTTATAAAAAAAAAGAATAAAATTTAATAGAGCACGTGAATGAAACCAACACGTATGTTCTTATTTTGAATATTTTTGTCGCACTTATGTGCCAAATATTCAAATACTGAGCCAAAATGGTGCTCATGGATGCCATTCGTTTCAACACCAAATCACGTTTCGAGCAGGAGTGGCACGGTGCATGGATTACTGCTGATTACCCTCCTTTCAGTAGATCAAACAGTAAAACGACCGGATAAGGAAAACAAACTAAAGCAGACTGGTTCCTGTGCCAGAAGACCACAGAATAGCTGATGAAAAACAACATTGCCAGCAGATGACCAAAAAAAAACTGGTTGAAAAGCTATACCTACCTTTTCCCAGGAATGTCAGCCAGGCAAGAATTTGAGCCACAAGATGGTTAGAAAACTGGAAACTTCTTCCGATGCCGCTGGCATAGGAAGATCGTGGTAGCCATCGTGGTTGCCTGAGGGAATGTGTCATCCTGAGACCCGAACCATCAATGAGACTAGCAGCCAGTAGCAGTCATGGCTCTAGGCCATGGTGCCGCGGGGTGAAAGTGACCCGTTCACTCACATTTTTTAATAAACATCGGAGCAAAAAAGTAATTTTTACATGCCATGCTTGGAACACGAACCATTAAAAAAGTAATTTACCGAACACCATGAAAATCACAGCATTTACTGAAAATGTGTGCCGCATTGACTATTCGAAGTTTCAATGTCGTACCTTTATCACTTTCTGAGAAATATTGATTTAAAGTTGGGAACGTTTTTCTGGGCCACCCGGTATGTGTTAACAAAAAATAAGTGAGGATCTATGTTCTCACTCGGATCTCAAGCAAAAAATGAGACTCGGATCTGTGATCCCTATGGATCTCTCGATAAATTACAGAGCTGGATCTATGATCCCGACGGATCCGAGATCAGGATCCGTGGGATCAGATCCCAGATCCATTTTCTCGGATCCATGCACATGTCTGACACTTACCGCCTAGGCTTCACAATCGCGTTAATTATAAACGAACAGTTGGTTTAGCAGTTTTTTTTTTTCGACACTGAGCTTCTGTTCGATCTTCTCGATATTCATTTTTTAACCCTCGCCCATGTAGGGGGGGGGTTGGTGCAACCCCCCCCTGAGGTTTTTCGGAAATAGTGCAAAAACGGCGGCGCACAGCGCCGCCAAATTTTGGGTACTTTATGGGGCAAACCTTGCGCATCTTTTGATAAAAAAAAAATTTGACCGGGTCATGTCAGGTCACGGAGTTATGACGTCACAAAGGGAACAGCCTCCGGCCGGATTTTCATAAACTGAGTGCCAACGCCCGAGGTTTCCTGCCGGTGGTACGGACATCGGTTGATGGATCGTGATGAAACTTCCCATGCATGTTGGGGCAAGTATTGGCTATCATATGGTATAAGAAACTTGACCGGGTCAGGTCAGGTCACGGAGCTATGACGTCACAAGAGGAACAGCGTCCGGTACTATTTTTGAAAAGCGCCCGAACCACTATTTTGCTTATTCTTGTCACCTCAATGGGAATATGCAGCAATATTAGCTTCTATAGGGAGCAAATGGACCTTCCAAATCAAAAAATACAATCAGATTTCAAAAATTTAAATTTTGATTTTTCGAATTTCTGCCGCCGACTGTGACCTTGCCGACTTCCGGCGCTCCCAACGCGCCATTTTTAGAGCTAGGGAAACGAAATACATACCAAACGATAGAGAATTGATCAAGGAACACGATAGTGAAGGTTTGAAGTCGATATCTCCCACCGTTTTGCCGCAATCGCCGCGGAAAGTTGAAAAAAATCTATTTTTCCGAAAATTTGACCTTTGACCGGTCAAAAGTAGGTCAAATGTTGACCTAGGACCAAAAAATATACCACCAATCGCGAGATCTCGGCGAGAGCAATCCGTTGGTCTTTTCCGCTAAGCTCTACGACGCTCCGTTTTCAAACGCCAAGGGGGGGTCGCACCAACCCCCCCCCCCCCTGCATGGGCGAAGGTGGCAGATCGCCGTTTACGGGCGAGGGTTAAGGTCTCTGCGCATAATCCCGCTTCTTACGAGCACATACGATTCCGGGTGTAAGTAGGGGCTTATGATATAATTGGAAGCTATAATCACAAATTTTCCTAATTTAAATGGAAAGCGAAAAATACTTCAGCGAGTTTCTTAAAAGCTATAACATGCGCCACCCAACATTGTCTAAACTAGGACATAAGCACCAAGCACGGCACATCTGAGACCTGAATTACCTACGACTCCACAGACTGACATACACAGACACCCGGGGGTCGATCCGCTCCCCGTCCATCTTCCGTCCATAGTAACACTCCCCGGCCCCGTCTGGTCAATGGCGGCCGCCGCGCCGGACCGGGGTGTCCTGTCGTCGCCGTCGCCGTCGTCGCCGTGATTTGTCAGCGTCGCTAACGTCGCCTGTCGCCGGTCGCCCGGGGAAATGTTTACAGCGCACGTTACCACATTACTGCATTATGGATGAGGTGTGCTCGCCCCGCGCCGGCTGACTCGCGACGCTGCACCGGCAAACAGGGGTCGCCGGGGAGGTGAGAGGACGGGGGTGACGTCATCGGGAGGGGAGTGACGTCACTGGGTGGTGTGTGACGTCAGAGAGGGGTGATGTGGTGCAGTGGGTGGCTCTGGCGGATGTTGACACTAAGAGATAAAGGCCCGATGGGACGCTGTTCCTAATGTCAGAATGGGCTTACGTCAGCATGGCAGTCCTGCCGACTCAGCAGAGAAGATGCTGTTTCTGGAAAAGACCAGAGAAAACAGACAAAGGAAAAGAAAAGCAAATGAGACAATTTTGTAAACCTTTTCCGACCAAGCTATTATACAGGTATCAGCCGTATAATAGTATAGTATAGTATAGTATAATAGTATACTATACTATACTATAGTATAG